TTCTGGGAGTTGAAGTCCACTCATCTTAAAGTGGCCAAGTTTGGACAACACTGAATTAAATGAATCCCCCGAGGAGGTGGATTTCATAGCCTGGGAGAAGAGAAAAGGGCTGTCTTCTAAACGGCCTCTCCTGAAGATTTATTTATTTATTAAATCCATTTATATGGCCTTCCATCTCGCGGATGTGATTCAGGGCAGCTAACAACAAACAATGCAGAAACAGTATCACCAAACTGTTAAAGAATCTACAATGACTGTCGAGAACAAACCCAGAGAACATTCAGCAAAATGACAGCATATCATGGGCCATCTAACCTCCCGACTCCCATGGCCTGGAGCACAAGATTGGGGCTGTTCTCATCTTGGGAGATACGGTGGTCCAGAGGGCAAGTGCTGCGGCTGAAAAGGCCCACTTCCTAGGTCCCATCAGATAGTGTTCTTTAATTGAGGAGACCCAGAATGCGTCCCTCTTGTCAGACCTGGTAGGACAGGTAGAAACAACTGGGGAGAGGCGGTCCCACAACCCTGACCCCATGCCATGAAGGGCTTTCTTTAGAACCAGCACCTTGAATTCCATCAGTGCAGCTTATGAAGCTGTAACAGTATGTGGGAATGACCTTGGGAGACAGGAGAGAGAGCCGCAGACTGGACAACTAGCATGTAAAAGGTATTTCTGCCCACAGAAGAAGGGAGGGTATGGGTAATGTTTTGGAACGGACCCTCCCTAGTTTTCCGGAAACTAAAAGAAAAGGAGGGGAGAAATACTTTCAGTCTTGCAAGATTCTGTTAATGTAACTTTACAATAAAGATAGAGCTAGTAGTCCTGGTTGTACCTGTCTGGACTACCCTGCAGGGCTAACAGAAGCAGAGGTATAACGTGGCTCCTAAGCTGCACCCATAACTGCCTGTGCTGCCACATTCTGGATCAGTTGCAGGTTCTGGATGGTCCATGTGGAATGCATTGCAGTAATCCACTTGGGAGGGGAATAAGGTGTGAGTGAATGTGAGCAGTGCCTCCCGGTGTAGGAAGGGGTTCAACTGGCACACAAAGTGAAGTTGTGCAAAAGTCCACCTGGTAATGACTGCCCCCTGCTCTTTGAACAGGAGCTGTGAGTTCAGGAGGACCCCCCAGAATACGTACTGGTGCTGTTTGGAATAGTGCAACCCCACCCAGACCAAAGATGAAAAAACTCTGGTTTCAGGGGCCTTAAAACCCACAGCCGCTCCATCTGGCCAGGATTTTGCTGAGATCTTTCTCCATCCAGACCTCCATAGCCTCCAGAGACTGAGACAGAACCTTCACACCCTTACTTGGTTGGCTCAGGATAGAGATGTAAAGTTGGATATCATCAACTTACTGACAAACCCTCACCCCATGGTGTTGGATGACCTCACCTGCTGGCTTCATATAGATATTAAATAGAAGTGGGAAGGCATTGAGTCTCGAGGAATCCCAGAGAAGTCGTTATGGACTAGATTTCTCCTCCCCATCCCCACATCAACACTGATTGGAACCAGCCTAGAGGAAGGAGAACTAGCACAGAATCTCCTACTTCTGATCCTTGGAGACAGTCCAGAAGGGTGCCATGATTGATAGTATCAAAAGCCGCTGAGAAATCAAGAAGGGCCAGGATGGATGCCCCACCCCTATCCTGCTCCCACCATTCAAGTGTGATCAATGCCATTTCATCCCATATCCAGGTCTGAAACCTGACTGAAAAGGGTTCAGATAATCCATTTCCTCCACGATTCCCTGAAGCTGCAGCATGACCACCTTCTCGACAATCTTCCTTAGGAAGGGAAGATTGGAGGTGGAATGAAAGTTACCCAAAATGGTCAGATCCAGTGAAGGCTTCTTGAAGAGAGGGTAAACCACAGATTGTTTAAGTAGTGGGGGGACCATTCCTTCTCTCAAGAATGAACTCACCACCGCCAGGGTCAAACTGCATGTTGTCTCGCAAGAAGCCTTAGCTTACCTTCCCAGGAGGGACATGGGTCCAACACTGAGGTGGCCACACTAACAATACATAGCCTGGGAGAAAGGAAAAGGGGAATCTTCTACAGTCCAGTTGGCCACCAACATCAGAGGAATATGCAAGGCATCTATCAGATTAAGTCACTTGGATTTGCTCCAAACTGAACCCTGGCCTGGAGGCAGATCCATGGAAATAACTGAGGCCTTATCTGGCCTGGTTATCAGGGATGAATTTGATCCTGTTGGTCTTGATGAAGTGACAGGATTCTTGGAACTGTTAGTGTGTTGGACCCATGTCCCTCCTCGGAAGCCTCATCAGTCTCCCATCTCTCAGCATTAACAAAATCTGTACAGATCCATCTCTTTCCCCACATTTCTAATTGTTAGATGATTTTTAGGGCTTTTTCAAAATGATTCATTATTAATGTTTAACCTCTTATACACTATGTTGGTTTTGAAATTTTGCTAGCTGCCGTAAGCGCTCACCAGAGCTGAAAGGTGGGATATAAATACAGTGAGCATATTTTCTTAGAAAAAAATAAAGGACAAACTTGAAAAAGGGGCAAATCTGAAAGAGGTTCATAAGGATCAAACAAAAATAATAATTGTTTTAGGTTTATAACTTTGCTTTACAACGGAAAATTCAAGAGCCAAACCAAGAGAATAAATAATTCAATTAAATAAAGCTAAAGGACAGCTTTCTGAAATAAAGGTGTGTCCTTTATAATAAAGGACATATGGTCATTGTAGATATAAATCAAATAAATTAGCAAGATTCCACTGGTTTCAAGAGACCTTCAGGACTCAGGGCGTGGACTCCTGTTGGAAGTTAGACTATCAGTTCTGGACTGAAACAACTCAGGTGATCTCTAGATGGCAGCAAAGAGACAGACAACTAACCCTTGGCTGCCTTCTAGCCCTCATCTTCATTTTTGCAGCCCGGATCTCGTGGCCCCAGGGGAGCAGAGATGGCAAGGATGAAACCCACCCAAATGTCCGCATCGGGGCTGAACTGTGCCAACTCACCACCCGGGGCTTGGTTTGGCCTCTTTGCCTTCTACCCTCAGGATCGTTTTGAAAGTCATCCTACCTTCAGCCAGACACTAGCTCGGAAGGAGACAGAATCCAGAACGTTTCCTCCAACTTTGGAGACCTTCCTCCGCAGTTCAGCAGAATACGGGCTGTAAGCGGCCTTACTAGTCATCCGCTTGCTAAGCATTCCTCCGATTGCCCAGCATCAGGAGGGGCCAAGCCAGATCACCCCCTCACCCTCACCCCCTTTTCCAAAGGAGGCACTGCGGCGGCCTCAAAAACGCTGCTAAGAAGTATATTCCACAAAGACGTTAGATTAAAAGAAAATATCTCCATCTCTGAAGAGGGAACCGCAGTTTTTTCTCGCCCATCTTTGTTCCGAAAAACCTGCAGGAGGATTGTTTTTTTAAAAAATGAAAGAAAAGAAATAGAAAAGAAAAACCGCCCACTACCAGTTTCCTTGCTCCGAAAAGGCGGAGAAGAAAAACCCACAAATTTTCTCCGCGGCAGGAGGATGTAAGACCTGACAACTTCCTCTTTTCTACATTGTGCAAAAACAAATAATCAAGAATAGGCCTTAGAGCAGTGTTTTTCAAAGTTGGCAACTTTAAAATGTGTGGGCTTCAACTCCCAGAATTCCCTAGCCAGTGCTGGCTGGGGAATTCTGGGAGTTGAAGCCCACCCATCTTATAGTTGCCAAGTTTGAAAAACACTACCTTAGAGCCTGAACAAAATGCCCCCTTTTTGGTTCACTCGGGCTAGTTCTGGATAAATAGATTCATGCATGAAATTTTATGTGTGTCAGCATAACAGTGGCTCCAAAGGGGAAAAAAAGAGTTTTTAATGCATTTATTGGTCACAAAAGAGGCATGCTCTCAGAAGTCCACCCTCTTAGAAGAGGCCTTCCCTCCTCCACACATGTACAGCACCCGCTGTGCTGAAAGGTGCCGTATCCTCACTAAATATGTTTAGGAACACGGCTTCATTAGAAGCTGCTAGTGCTTTTTTTTATGTCCCCCCCAACCCATTTCTCTCATTCCCTCCATTATATATATAAAAAATCATGTAATATTTTACAATATCGGAAGGAGGTAGGATAGTCAGACTTCACCAGCTGAATATATCTGCAAGCGGTTACTTCAGAATGCGGAGCTCCAAGCTGCTCCATATTGTGCATTTTTGTGGCTACACCCAAGCCACCAGCGGAATCAACATTTTCAGACCAAGACACCCTCTCGTAAAAGGAAGAACGTGCAATTCTTAACTCACCCATGCACTGTTGCAACAGGCAAAGATGGGACACTCCATTTTCAAAGTGACATAATATGAACAACACGTTTTGTAGCACCATGAAAAACAACAACACATTATAACTCCAGTCACTATAGACACTCGTCTGATTCAGCAGATACACCAAGGGTTATCTTACATTGACAGAAGTGTGAGTGTGTTTACATGCATGTGAATACACACACACTCACACACACACAGAGAATTGTAGAAAGAAAAGTAAAGAATGGGAGGAGACAGCAATGAAATGCAAAAATTCTATTTAGAATCATTTTTCACAACCTGGAGTCCTCTTGAATTCTTTTGGTCTTCAACTCCCATACAGGTAGTCCTCGACTTACGACCATTCATTTAACAACTGTTCAAAGTTACGATGGCACTGAAAAAAGTGACTTATGACTGGTCCTTTGCACATAACCATTGCAGCATCCCCATGGTCATGTGATCAAAATTCAGGCACTTGGCAACCGGCATATATTTACAACAGTTGCAGCGTCCTGGGGTCACATGATCACCATCTGTGACCTTTGCAGAGGGCTTCCAACAAGCAAAGTCAGTGGGGGAAGCCGGATTTGCTTAATGACCGTGGCAAAAAAGACCTAAAATTGGGCATGACTCACTTAACGACCACATTGCTTAGCAATGGACGTTCCAATCCCAATTGTGGACATAAGTTGAGGACTACTGGCAATCCTAAGCCAGCACAGACAATGATTATGCTGGCTAGGCATTGTGGGAGTTGAAGCCCAACACCTCAGCAAGGCATAGCTTGAGAAAGCCCAGTGTAGATCAACCTAGTTAGAAGTCAAATCTATGTAAAATAAACACAGTGACTAACTGCAAAGCAGGGTAGTTAGTAACATAAAACATTCTGGCAATGAAAAAGTTAGTTAACATCTGTAGGATGATAATACCCCATATCTGGATACAGAGCAAGAGAGACAAAACCGAGCCTTAGACCTTATCAACTGTTTCATTTTTTTAAGAGAGCATCTTCTAGGATAGGGTTCCTCAACCTTAGCAACTTTAAGATGGGTGGACTTCAACTCCCAGAATTCCCCAGCCAGCCATGCT